AGTTGTTTTGGGCTTTGTGTGCTAATCTCTCCTTTACTAGTCTATTGCTTCTTGTAGTAGTAATGCCCGGAGCTACTAGTAGCTTCTTGCTACTCATAGCGATGCACTCATAGTATGCGGCACCGTACGTTACTACGTTCGCGTCATTGTTATACTACGTTCACGTCACTTGTTCCTATCGTAATGCAGAAGACCCTTCGCCTCACTCCACCCCAAAAGGATCACGAAAGCGTCGAATCTGGTTTTGTGCAGTTCAGTGCTGGGCGTTGGGTGGTTCATCTGCGGGTAGTGTATCGGTGCGGTGCATGGGTCACCGTGGCACGCGCAGAACTGAAGGGAGGACCAAGAGATGCATGTTGGACTTAAAAGAGTTGGAGTTGGACTGGCAAGAAGAAACGAGCATCCCTGTGGCTCGAATGTGTCCACGCTTCTAAGAGAGTTTTGTGAACGCTGGTCAACATTTCGGGTCAACATTGGTTTGGATTCGAATCCATGCTGGAAGTGAATCTTCGCCCGAGTGTGTCATTCGCATGGTAAAGGTGGGTATCTACGACTGAGCAGCAGGAGCAAGACGTAGTGATAATGATTCAAACCGCTGCCACCCGAATGCCCAAACAGTCACAATGGGCCAATTGAATCCAATTGAACGATTGGCTGCTTTTTTGTCGCAACCTAACCACTTAAGTATACCGTATGTATTTTAGCTACAATTACCTACACAATCCTACACGACTTGTTTATGAGCACCTACCCACCTACATCAAACCATGGATGGTAAATCCCATCCAAACCCATACCGCCCGTCACGTCCGCACGGAACATCGGTCGCACACAGAAACGGAACAACGGCGGAAATTCCGCCGTTCAAACGGCGCAAGGCCGCCAGCAATGATGGCTCCTCAGGCGAGGAGCGAAGTGGCCAAAGGGTGGTTGTGGCAGTGGATCGCCCGGTGGGAGTGTCCCACTAAAGTGGCAGAGCAGGTGTCAGAGCTGCAGCGAATGTGCAAAACTGCCATGGTTTACAATGTTTGACACGACGCTGTCACAGTCCGAACGCCAGCTTTCTGACTGGCTGTCGAACTGGGATTTCCGGCTTGGGAGTCGGTCTTTGTTCCATGCAATCATTTGTACTTCTTGTTGACCGTTTGATGCAGTTGGCGTTTCCGCAATTCGTGGACCGATTTGTCTCGCTTCGGTGAGACAAATCGTCCATCACATAGCAACCAATACCAAGACCATCCAGGGCTCTTGAACGCATTTTTTCAAGGGCGGAATTTCGAAGGGCGTACCCACCCAATGACATGTTTATTAAGTGTTTCTACCTTTATCGGGATCTCAACTGGTCTCATGTCACTCTTCTTTTACGTTTTCTTTACCGGAGGATGTGTGTTTTTGTCAGTACAGCCCTTGTAGTTCTTGCCCCAAGAACACTGGCTTTCCTGTTTGGTGTTGATGTTAATGACTCAGCAAAACGATGCAAAACCGAGCTTTTCAGAAACACAGGGCATAGTGGGACGGCTTTTGGTTTTTGTGTGATGTGTCTCACCTGGGATATCGGGATATATATAATATATACATCTTGTTCTTCATGTTTATTCCATTATAGATGGTGCCACAAAGGCTTGCTTTCCTGGAAAACTAGATGTGGGACGGAAATTTTAGAGGAGAGCGTCGCAAAGTGAGCTCATCCTGCCGGTACCTAATCCAATATTATCATCACAATTGAACGGGTGACCCCCTTTGTCATGTTCTTATGTGGTGTTTAGGATCTATCATCACCAGTATCCTTGCAATCTGCTCAGACGTTTGATTTACCCATGCGCGGTTGCTAAAGGCATACACTCCCGAAAGCAGCCATTTGGCACTGGAACATTGCACTGGTTGGGAGAGTCGCTTGATGTGTGTTTTGAGACTGCTACCTTCGTTCGAATTCGACCTTTGTCGAAGAATGGTTCACCAGGGGCAAAAGCGATGCAGTTAGATTGAGTAAGACCTTCTAAACGTGTCCTTTCTTCCGGCAGGCTCTGTGCCTGTGTGTGGCGGCCTAGAGGGCTAGTGGCTGCATCAATGGTGTTCTTCATGCGTGCCCCTTCGAACAAGCTTTAGAGACCGTAGCCTGACGAAGGGCAAAACAATGCAAAACATGTCAATGATCAAACATTTTTGGTGATCGTGTTTAGCTTATAGTATATATATATAATACTACATCGACTGGAGATACTACTTTGTGCTGGTTGTGATTAGTGTAACAGGTCGCAAAGTACCTCTTCCTCCTTTCTCTGAATCAGTGAACCCCCACTTGGTCCTATACCCCTATGGATCCCTATGCCTTCTCAGAAGGTACTTGGATCCTCGGAACTAAAAGAGTGTCCAATCACCATCAGCTAGAGGGTATGTGGATCGCTACGGCATGGTGGCACCACCCGAAACCCAGAGAAACGCCACCAAGAGTACCAAAACCCTCCATGGGACTGGAAGATTGCCATACATTGGGATGGCTTGTGGCAAGCATCTAATGCAGAACATGAATGAACATGATGGCTTAAATGATGCGAATCATTCGATGTCTCGTTTTTGTCGGCTCCGGCTCCCCCATCCGTTTCGCTCGCTCGAGGGCGGTGGCATTACCCTTCCGGCCGGAAGGCCGGGTCGGACGGACGGTCGCATCCAAGAGCGAAGCTCGGGTGGATGAGAGGCACATGGTCTTTGGACCGTAAGACTCCAAAAGCACAGGTGGTTTACAGACTCCAAGAGCTGCCGGTGGTTTACCGACCAAAAGAGGCATGCCTTCTCGCCCACAAGCACAGTGTATTTAGGGTAACCATGCGTATCTAAATTTACAATCTCACCTTTGTGGGCAATTGCTTTAAGACCTTCTCCACAAAGTAATGACAAGCATGTGCATACCTTATCACCAAGAAGCATAGCGCGACGGCCGTGGACTCGAGTCAGCCACGGCCGTTTGGCGGCGGATATCACCAAGAAGCATAGTTAATAATATGTTATAGTTACTTTAGTCTGACCAGCTGCATCTCAAATGGTCAAAGTGTTTGCATCTCCAGCAGTTCTTGCAAGTCTGACCTGCAGGTGGGTGAGTCTAGGTCTCAAAGTGTGCAGCCTGCCAAGTCCCTCGAAGTCCAGTTCGACTCAGTTGGCTTGTGGCATCCACCTGTGGCATCTACCTGCTCCCAGTCGTCGGAGTGCACGTGTTGCTCCGGCTTTGCTTCCTTCCTCTTGCGGGGGCGTGTGTCCGATTCAGCAAGGATTCTTGGGGCACCTTTCGTCAGACTTATGCAGCTTTGGGCAGTGGGTATGTCCAAAATGAATTCCGTGTTTTTTGTGCAATTCGCCATCTCAGAGATGTGGATTGCAACATCCTGTTCGACTTCTGACTGCATCGTAATGGCCGGGAGTCTCAAGGTCTTTGAAGGATTGATAATGGTTTCTTGAAAAGGGCAGCACACACACACACACACATACGCCCTGACCCCATGGTGGGGTCTACTCTTCGTTTTTCTTTGCAGAACCTTCTTGAATTCCCATAGACTCTTGATTCATGAAACCTCCATATACAAATGAAGGAGGTTTAGGCCATCCGGGCCCTCGGGTGCCAACCCAGCCGCTTCCAAGAGGACCGGACCTCTATGGCTGGTCACGCCGGTATTCCGAGCAGAACCTCTACACTCAAACGCACAAATTGAAGACGTTGCATGGAGGGCATGGCCCTTTGCTGCATGGACATGACCGAACTGTTCGTGCTTAAGAAGTCTCCCACAATTTGGGGTGCTTTTCCTGCATGGTTGAAGTACATCGCTGGCAAAGGCATCGAAACTCCCTCCACTTCAGTGGTGGGAGCATCCAATCATTAATCTTTCTCCGATAATGCATGGGACTGGAACTGGAATATACTAAACCTACCCATAAAACATCATTAAACATCTAAATGCCACCCCCAATATAGGGCAAATATGTCCTACGTCATGGATTGGGTTTGCCACTGCGGGGTTGGACCGATGCGCTGGGGGATCTCAAGTTCCGAAGTCCGCAGGCACTCTGGAGAAGCAGCTGCAGCGCGAGTCACTTGGAGCAGGAGGTTCTTGATGTACGGCTGGTCTTAGTGTTCGAATTCGGTGGCTTGTGCTTGCTTTTGTTAGCCCCCCACTTCATGTGGTTCATGGACATGAACATCATAAGCACTTGTATGGTGGAGCTTTGTCGAGAAGTTCCTGATTCAAAGGGTTGAACTTTGAGGGAAAGGGGCATCTGGCTGTTCCAATTCCAAGCTCAATTGTGTCAGGCTTGTCAAACAGGACTGTTCGGGGTCAATGGGTACTCCGGCATCTCCTTCTGATGTATTCCGTTGACTTCTTGTCGTCTGGACTGTGCGAGTTAAGCATGGTTTTCGTTTTTGGGGGAACGGACATGAGTTGCTCACTTTCCTTATTTCAACGGAGTGAGCATGGCTGAGTGGTTCTCATGGCGAAAGCTTGTAGTTATCCTTTTCGGGCGACTCACTTGCTCGGCCAGAGCTCTTGCCACAGCTGTTCTGTAGATGTATCTCAAGTGTCTGGTTGCTTGCCATGCATGCGTTTCATTTTGACGCTGCTTTAGCCTGGGCCCAGCCACGAAGACCAAGAAGTAGAAGAAATCCAAATCCCCAACAAGAAGTTCCTTCCAGAGGTGTTTGTCTCCGGGGCTGAGAAATGGAGGATGTGCTGTTTGGAGTGGTGCATTGCAGAGAACTTGGAAGAAGCATCCAGCAGAAAAACTGCCTACTCCACTGAAGACGTCAACAAAATACCTCCCAAATGATAGAGACCAGGACCCCGAATACGCTACTGGCCCCCCCAAAATGGGCTGCTGGGACCGTTTTTGGTCGCTGGGACCCGTACGACCCGGTCGACCAGCTTAAGATTCGATCTGATCCGGAGTGAGGTGCAGGCTTTTTGTTTGTTGGCCGTGCAGGTTTCCTCTATAAAATGAGAGCGATGAGAAGGGGTCATGGAGTGCAGAACTGCCTTGGACCCGCGTGCTTCTCCTGATTTCTGCGGTCATTGACGTGTCAAGCTACGGGAGTGATGTGGCGTGACCATCACGTATACTGCTTGGCACGCACAGGTTGTTTCACTCTGTTTTGTGTAAGACGTATTTCTGTCTTCTCTTCTGGGTCTCTCGGTTCAAGCGTAGCATATATCTCAAGCCTTTGGTTGCCTTCCATGTATTTCAACGCATTCAACGCTGTGGCACATCCGAGTCCATCCTGACCAAGCTTTGACCCAGCTCGGCAGCTCCACCTCCGTTGGGCCCCCGTTGGAAGAACAGCGGAACAGCAGCGCGGAAGAGCGGTGGAAGAACGACTCTGTTCAGGTTGCGTTCTTCAACAAATGGACCTGTTGGCCGCGGCTGGAGTTCCAGGCCTTGTTGCTTCTAAAGGATAAAGAACTAGGCTCAGAAGTTTCAGGTGTGAGGCCATCGCTCTTGGGTTGGAGCCCATTGCTTTTAGGTTGGAGGCCGTCGCTAGTAGGTTGGAAGATGTTAGAAGTGTTTGTTTTTTCAGTTCGATCACCGGGCCAGACACGATCTCGGGGTGTGACGGCGCACGATGTTTTCAGCTGCACGCGTTTCTACGGTTTCTACGGCGGTTTCAGCTTCGAGCCATGAGAATTCCAGTGCAGCAGATGAGCAACTCGGCACTGAAACATGGTTTCTTTTGGATGGTCACTTTTCGTTCACATCCTGTTCTTACACCATCGGAAACACCAACACCCCCTATAGAAACCTTGTTGGAACGAACACTAAGGGATGTTGGGAGAGCTCTCAGACCTTCGGAGATGTCTCGTTCCTGTTCTGCTATCCAGGGCGGATGAGCGGATGACGCTTGTTCGACACGCTGGGTAGTCTGATTTTGCGATCTAGTAGCGATCTAGCAGCTTCTTGTTCCGTTCGTAGGGATGGCCTCCACCAGCCGGACGCGATGGCCTCCAAGCTCTTGAAGAACTAGCCAATTTGATCTACAAAGGATGCCGTAAATGGGCGTACGCGTACCTGCCCATTTTTAGGAGACACCAACCAAGTAATCATGATTACTTCGATGTCCCCGACAGGATGACCATTTTCCGAAAGGGAAGTGTAGTAGTTCCACATTTCGATTGACCTCCTTCTTGGCAGAAGTTCAGTTCCAAGACAATCGCGCCTTACAACCTCCCCATCGCGGTTCCATTTTTTGGTGGCTTTTGAACTCCGAAAACGCTCATCCACATTCGGATCGCAGCCTCCCTTCAGCGGTTCAGCCGCATGGTTTCGGGGTGGATGCCTTCCGATCCTTTCGTTGGTTTTGTAGCGAACGAAAACCGGCCGTTCACTACGACCGATCGATCCATTGGAGGCCCATCGTTCCAATCTTCCATTCTTTCTCCTATAGAGCGTCGATCCGTGAGTTCTTCTTGCCGGTTGGAACGTGTGTCGTGTGTTGAAGATGTGACACAGGCGGAGATGTGACCACAGTTGAAGCGTCTCCTGACACGACCATCGGCTTCGTTCAAGAGGCAGCCGAAAGGAATGCACACCTGCGAGTTCAAGCAACGGCTGAAACGGCCAACGTGTGTCGACTGTGACGATGAGTTGATCAAAAAGCTCATCTTGGTCGAAGTGCTGATGGGTGAAACGCAACTCACTGACGATGACCAGACGATCATGCAAGCCGGACTTTCTCCAGATGTGGTTTTGCAACATGCTTCACAGTCATCATGACTTATTTATCAGTCATCAAACAATATTGTTTTTGTTCTCCGTTGTTTGGGACATACTAGGTGATCCCTTCAACTAGATCGAAACACAGGTAATGACATGTAGTGACTAGGAATGACCAGGAATTGGTTGTGGGCTTGTTCTTTTGTTGGCACACTGCCCTTACAGTGGTTCCACAGGATCTTGTTCTATTACCAAAGTCCCTCAGTCAAGGTCCGTTCGCGGATGAGTGCTCAAGAAAAGAGGATGCAGGCTGTCCTTTGAGCGTGACTAGTCCAGATGTGGAGGACTTGTGCATGGCAAATATTCTGGATGGTGTGACAGCAATTGCAAAAGATGCATTCGCAAACTGCGCACTTGTCGGCCAAGTGACCATTTCCAACTCAGTGACCAAGATTGGAGAAGGCGCTTTTGGAGGCTGCTGTTCTTTGACCACTTTGACCATTCCGGACTCTGTGACTGACATTGGGCAGTACACCTTCGACAACTGCACCCTTTTAACCAGTTTGACCATTCCCGACTCTGTCACAGACATTGGGCCATACTCCTTTCATGACTGCAGCTTTTTGACCAGCTTGATCATTCCGAAGTTCGTTACCAAGATTGTGCAATACACTCACCGTTCAGAACTGCAGCTCTTTGACAAGCTTGACCATTCCGGACTCTGTGACGGATATTGGGCCATACTCCTTTCATGGCTGCAGCTCTTTGACCAGTTTGACCATTCCCGACTCTGTGACCGAGATTGGAGAAGGTGCTTTTGGAGGCTGCTGCTCTTTGACCACTTTGTCCATTCCAGAGCGTTTGGCTGCTGTTCGAGGAATTGCCTTTATCTGGTCTTATTCCCAAAGCGGCTTCTTAATGCTTTGTATGAGATATCTCAGTAGTAGATATCTCATATAGACTTGATATTGAGAAGGCAACCTGAGAGCTGTGTGCATGCCGGATGGACGGTCGCGTGAATCGGATCTCTGACTTGCTGGTTCTTCTACCCAAACTGACTGCTGCTTAGTGAGGAATGAGGGTGGCTGGAACTTATTAAGGTATTTATCCCACACACCCATGTCTTTGGAATATATGTCCATATATTGCACCCTTTTCAACCAAGGTAAGGACATATTTGCCAGTCGTGCCATGCCAGTCCCAGATGGTTCGTGTTCGGGTATACCGAGTCGTGCCCTGTTCACCGAGGAAGGCGATGCAGGCCGAGAAGGCGCCACACGGTGTTTTTCCTTTGGGGATGGTGAACAAGAAGATCCTTCTCCAAAAGGCTCTAAAATGTCGGATCTAACATGATCTACTACCTTTGAATCTGTATCGTCAATTAGTGTATCTTAATTAGTGTTCTAATGTATTCTATATCATGGTGCATATTCTGATTCTTTCGTTCCGTGCTGCATCTGTGGATCTTTGAAAAGTCCTGTCATGCGGTGTTTCAGTTTAGGATTGCGGGACGATTCCTTCGACGTCAAAAGAAGCGTTGAGTTGCAGTTTCGTTGGCTGCCCGAGATCACCAGAGGGAAGACAGGATCTTTCTTTCGAGTCGGGTGTGTAAACACCAGTTGATTGGTTGTTACACCGGAAACTGTTTTGGGGTGGTCTTCCATGATGGGATCGTGGGAGGTCAGGTTTTCCTGGGAACCGATCCGTTTTTCAGGACCCCAAGGAAAGGTGGCGTGGATGGAGGCTGTCCCTATGTCTGCCAGTTGATCAAATTCAACCACTTGGAACCTCTGAAGCGACTGCTTCAGGAACTAGGTCTAGCAGGGGTTTGCCTCAGGAGGAGATTACAGAAGCCAGCAGTCACAAAGGGGTGCTTAATGGAGGTTAGGGGTGCCCAGTATCCACTCACTTGGGCACTAAGCACCACCCCTTTAGAAGACATTTCCACAAAAAGAACGATTGCTTGACACAAGACCCCTGACCATTTCGGGTGATCTCCCCATCAACGGTCGAGTGAGGCACGGCTCCGGACCCTTTCAGAACAGCAGCGATCCAGTGTGGAGGCTGAGGAAAAGGTATCGGCTGAGACTGAATCGAGTGACTGGTGCGAGAGCCTCCAACCTAATAGCAGTGGGCGACCATTTAGCAAGAAATAAGGGAACAGAACCTGTTCGGTCTCGGTCTACGGGGTCATTCCCTGAAAACCCCCTACGAGTCGCACCAGGTCTCACTCTGATGGCGGCGTGGAGTTGGTGAAAGATGTTTCGGTCCCAAAATCCAACAGAGGTTAGTTAAGTGACCTAAACTAGGACCCTACAGGGGTACCTATAGGATATTATAGGATAGTCGAACTAGGGTTCTTCAACCTCTGCTGGAAGGACTGGCTGGTGGGGCCGATGTTGGAATCATCATGGTGGAAGGGAGTCTCATGGCCGATGTCGGGTGAGCATGGAATTCATTTAAAAAAGGACCCAAGAGGTGATGAGTTTTCCACGCTGAGTAAGGACTGTTTATTCATGAGACCAACAATCATTACTCAATTCAGGTACTGTTCTTGCCGAGTCCAGGACCCAGGAGATCGAACTTTCAACCTTTGACCCAGGAGATTGGGATGATCGAACCGACCGCGGTGAAAACCGAACTCGCCTCCCCTCCAACTGCCTGGCCCACTCCCGGAATGGCGGATGGAAGTCCGGGCGCTATGCCATCCGCCCTTCCATGATTCTTTAGGGAGTGTATACTTCTTTGGGCGGAGGCCTGAGAACAAGACATGGTGCAACAGCCAACAGCGGCTGTCCATCTTCCCACACTTGGACGAATCAGAGGAGGAAACAGAACCAAATGAGACCAGCGACCCTCCACCCTGGTTTCAAGGTATGTTTGAGATGTTTCCGAGATGAATCCAGCGACACCGGGGAGGATTGTCACTTCGTCTACCGGTCTTTTCCAAGATCCGGTCGACCGTCGCCCGGCCGATGGAACCGGAATTGCCTGGATCGACCGAGGTGAAAACCTACGTGTTTGGGGGCCCAAGCCATCGGTCTTTGTGGTGCAGGTGCAGGTGTCCATTGATGGCAGTTTTTTTGTGTTTTTGGAGTAACGTTGGGATGTGTGGTACGGTCAGACCGTCGTGTGCGAAGCTGTGAGTACTGTATCTTGTTCTTCCGGGGGGGTACATGGTGGCACCATGAAATCGACCACAAGAATCATAGACCTCTCAACTTGGTGCCCAAAGGATCCAAAGAGTTGGTGCTGTCGTTGGAGCTGTCGTTGGAGCTGTCGTTAGGTCGAGCGGGACGTGACGGGCAGTCTGTCCACAAATAAAACGGATGCTCATCAAGCCAAGATCTTGGGTTGGAGGCCATCGCTAGTAGGTTACAGGCCGTCACTCTTAGCAAGACTTGTACTCCTACCTGGACCATGCTTCAACGATTCAAAAGCATATACGTATGTTCCAAATGTCGTAGTCTTAGTTGTGGGTATCATGATGATAACAACTCCATTGGACCAGAGGCCAACACTCTGCTCGTGTCTGTTGCTGACCCTATAAGCTTTGGCTCTTGTTGTTCTATCCCACCAGAATACGGCCCGCCAGGCGTCGGTGATGCCATCTCTCATGTTCTCTTCTCGATAGGAAGCAGAACCTAGGCCTCAGGAAAGCCATTGAAGTCGGGAATCCTCATTGACATGTTTTTGTTTCAGAGTGTTTTGTTTCAGAGTGTTTTTTGTTTGACTGAGTGGTTGACCACCTTGTCTGTGATTCGTGCGGGGCGACAATGTCAAGCAACGAAGGTTTGGGCGTGCATCTCCCGAATCCCACACCGATCAAGAATCTGAGTTGATTTCTATTCCGGTGATCTTCCCCACCCTCTTCACCCTCTTCAACCACTCACTCCGCCCACCATGCGTCACCTTCACCGAGGGTCGCTCGTCAGCAGGAACTGGCGCCTCGCGACTTCCCGGCCGCCTCGCCACGGATGCCACGTGCCGTCAACGGCGCGAACTCTCCCTTGGTGGACAGGCATGGACCGCACGTGTTCCACGGCGGTGGTGGGCATGGTGGTTGTCCGTGGTTGTTAAAGGTCGTCCAGACGTGGGTTGCCATGGAATGGATCCTCTTCTGGTGGGTTGCCATGACAGACTTGACGTTTCCCCGTTGGCGCATGTCGCGCTGGGAAAGACCGTCGACGGCTGGGAAAGACCGTGTAATTGGAACGTCAGACGGGCCACTGAGAATGTCGCGCAGTTCTTGAAGGAAATGCACAGCATGGTGTGAAGGACGAGCCATCAGACGAATCAAAGAGACGTCCACATGACGAATGGTTTGGTTTGAAAAAACAGGAAGAAAATGGAACATCTTTCTTGAATTGATGGTTTCTAAATGTTTCCAGCGTTGTTTGAACACTTTGCAGGGTGGTGTGAAGCCTTCTCGCCTGCGCTCGCCCTCCAAAAACCTACACTGTTGGGGTCGTCCGAACGGGCTGCCTGAAAGGCCGAGGAACCTTGGACACGAGCGTTCGGTGCGGGTTCCTAGCCGTGAGGCTTCGTGAGGGAGAACGGTGTCGACATCACACCCATGGTTAGGGCGTGGCATCCAAATCCTACACGACCTGGGACTGGAAAGATTTTGATGCTACATTTGGGTTAGTTGAATTCAGGGTCTTTCGGGCACCGTCAATCTTCCAGTCCCCAGGTGGAAGGCGAGTCCCGACTGACTGGACCGGTTTTATCGGAGTTCGGAGCCGGAGCCGCGGAAGATCCAAAAGGCAGCCGATTGGTGGGGCACAAGTGCCCAGCCAAGCAGTACTGTACCAGTCGATAATATCTGAAAGAGCCATAGGAAAATGTGAGCATATCTTGTATTTATTTTGCTTAGTAACCGGGGTTCCAGTTTACAACCAGGGTTCCACAAAATCTTTGCATACCGAACTAACTTGTTAGGTTGTTGATGGTTGTTGCTTGCTGAATATCGAGCCTCAAAGCGCCTCAAAGCCATTTCGGATCAGCTTGTCTCCACTACACATGTCCTTTGTGCCTTTGTGAACGTGGATCAGCTGAGTGAGTCTGTGTCTTACTTGGTGTGTGTGGGTGTGAAGCAAGCAAACTTCCTTGTTGTGATGTGATGTTGTTCACAACTGTTTGTCCACACTGTTGCGCACGCTAAGACCAGAAGTGGAGCAAGTGACCAATTCGATGAAGAGACCTGCCACGAAGGGACCGACAAAGGTGAACAAGGGATCAACCCTAAAGAAGGATGCAACCCGATACCCTCAATTTGGCCGCTTTGTTCAGGGACAGTGCTCTCAATGGAAGCCGCTTGGATTTCCACAGGTTCACCGAGCCAAGCTCCAGCTGGAAGTTGTGACTTGTCATGCATTGCTTGTAGTTGGAACTCGTTTGCAGCATTTAATTTGCTTGCAGGAACCAACACGTTACAGCACTGCAACAACTACTGTAACAGCACAACGCATGTTGAAACACTCACAAAGCGTTACAGCAGTGCAACAACACAACAAGCACTGTAACTAAGTTGTTTGACCTTGTTGGCCTTACACCCTGGTGAAACAACACGCCCAATTGGCCTAGGTTCCTCCGCGAAAGCCAAAGTCTCAAGGCAATGTGGAGCTCCACCGCGGAAAGTTTGTCTTGCAGACCATGGGTTGCTTGAGTAGGGTGCTTAGGGTGCAGGTTACATACTGTATACCATGTAGACTGAACTTCTAGCGCTTACTTTGTTGACATACGATGTTGTTGTAAGTATTGCTCACCGGTTTTAATCATGCAGGATGCTTTTCATGAACTTACACGGCAACCACGCAATACATCTCTACATCGGGGGAAAGCAGGTGGCAGGATGCTTTGCTTTGCTTGATGCTGCGGTGCAAGAGGCTGCCAACAACAAGAAGAAGTGTGATGCGGACCATGAACCTGAAGCAGAGACAGAACATGACGAAGAAGGAGGTGAAGATGGTGAAGAGGAGGATGTCGAGTTGGATGAACCTGTCCCTGAAGAGGGATCGTAGACTTGCAAGACATATTATGTACAATATGTACATATGTGCGATGGAGATGGAAAAAGTTGCACCTGTGTGCTGAAGTGTTGGGTTGGTGTTGCAGAGTTTTGTCAATGCATGTTGTCCTGCTGCTTG